CTGAGTTCAATCCCCAGTACCTCCCCCCAAAAAAGAAGATGCGTTTTTATGTTTTTATACAATGGAATAGTACTCTGCCATGAAGAAGGATAACCCTGAGACATTTAAAGCTAAATGGATGCACCTTGAGACCATACTCTAAGTGAGATAAATCAGACACGCATGTCTTATTATACCGTATTATTTCTCTGGTATGAAAAACTGAAAATGGAAATAAGGACACTAATGTATAATAGATAATGTGAAATTGGAAGAAAATGTTCCAATGAGAAGGCAAACGAGGGAGGGGAAAGGGAGAAAGGAAAGAAGGGACAAAGAAAAATAGAGAATAGAAGGAAAAATGGAAACAGAACTTTTTAAATCAGGAGGGGAAGAGGGTTAAAGGGAAGGGAGGGGAACCGGCAAAATGAAGCAAGATATATCACGTACAGTACAAATCCCCTATGATAAATGTTACCATTATGTGTATCTAAAATTACCAATAAATGTTGTGCTTCAGAGTAAAAATAAAAAGGGCTGGGATGTAGCTCTGTGCTGGAATGCTCCTGGGTTCAATCCCCAGTTTTATAAAACAACAGACTCTGGTTTTATAGTGGTCTTGTATCATATGAACATATTAAATAATGGTAGCTTTTAGTAAATTATGAGTTTTTACAAAGACAAACATTCTTGTTTGTAAATAGAAAGCATTTTATTTCTCCCTTTCCATCTTTTTTCCCCCCAGTATCAGGTATTTAACCAAGGGTCTTCATACTAAGCTGCATCCAACCCCACCCTTTATATTGTTATTCTGAGATAGGGTCTCACTAAATTGCCCAGTCAGGGCTTGAAGTCACAATCCTCCTGTCTCAGCCTCCCAAAGTGTTGGGATAACAGGAATATGCCACCATACCTGGCATGATTAAGTTATTAATTAAATTTATTTAAAAATTGTTTTAAAATATATATTTGCTGGTGCATATTTTATAAAATATTGGGTTTTAATGTGTCATTTTCATGCATGTACATAATATATTTTGATCATGCACTCCTTTCTTTAAGTTAAATTTATGTGATATAACATAATGAATGGTCCAATTTCATTCATTTACCTGTGGATATCCAGTTTTCCCCACACTATTTGTTAAAAAGAGTTATTTCCTCATTAAAAACATTTTTTGAGGCAGGGTCTCACTATGCAGCTCAGGCAGGCCTCAAATTCCTGGAGATCTTCCTGTCTCAGCCTCCTGAACACTGGAATAACAAGCATGTGCTACCACTCCCAGCATGTGTCATTTCCTCATTGAATGCTCTTGGTATCCTTGACAAAAATCATTTGAACGTATACGCAAGAGTTTATTGTTGACCTCTCTATTCTATTCCATTAGTCTGTGTATGTCTTTGTTAGTACCCCATTGTTTTGTTTCTGTACCTTTAATACATTTGAAATCAGGAAGTTAGAAATTTCCAATTTTGTTCTTTTTAAAAATTGTTTCACTTATTTGGGGTTTCTTTATATTTCCTGTGAATTTTAGGGTAGAATTTTCCTTCTTTTTTTTTCTTCTCTCTTGCTGTCTCTCTTGTTTTTTGTTTGTTTGTTTTTTATTGAGACAGGCTGCATTGAATTCACCATGTAGCCCAGGTTGGTTTTGAACTCATGATCCTCTTGAACTCGTGATCCTCTTGCTTCAGCCTTGGAGTATGGGAGTAACAGATGTGCACGACTATACCCGGCTAAGATGGGTTTTTCTTTTTTCTTTCTTTTTTTTTTTTTTTTGAGTACCAGGACTCAAACTCAGGATCTTGCTTTTGTCAGGCAGATGCTGTGCTGCTGAGCTACACCCCTTGATCTTTCTATTTCTGCAAAAAATGCCATTGGGCTGGGCGTGGTGGTGCATGCTTGTAATCCCGGCAGTCGGGAAGCTGAGGCAGGAGGATCACTGTGAGTTGAAGACCAGTCTGCCGCTACATAGTGAGTTCCAGGTCAGTATCAACTACATAGTGAGACCATGACTCAAAAAACAAAGAAACAAAACAAAACAAAAAAATAAATTCTGAGACAGATCTTGCTAAATTACTAAGTTTTCCAGGTTGGACTCAGAATTGTGATTCTCCTGCCCCACTCTCCCAGAATGCTGGGCTTACAGGTGTTCACCACCATATCGGACTTGTATGAAATCTTTAGTGTTTTCTACATATAAGATTATGTTATTTGTGTACACAGATAATTTTCCTTCTTTCCAATTTGGATGCATTTTATTTTTCCTTGCTAACTGCTATGTCTAGCAATAGATATTATGGCTATGATATTACCTGTGAGCTTCATATATGGCCTTATGTATGTTTAGGAAGACTTCTTTCCATTCCTAGTTGTGTTTTTATTATGAAGGGTATTAATTTTTTGTTTGTTTTTGGTTTTTTTTGAGACAGGGTCTTGCTGTGTAGGCCAGGCTGGCCTTCAACTAACTATGTAGCCCAGGCTGGCCTCCACATTAAGGGCAATTCTGCCTCAGCCTCCTGAGTGCTGGGATTACAGGCATCTGCCACCACACCTGGATTTTGGGTGTTAACTTTTGTCAGATGTTTTTCTGTATCAACTGAGACGATCATTTTGTTAATTTGGTGTATTATATTGATTTATTTACATATGTCTGAACCAGCCTTGCATTCCAGGAACAACTATCCTTTATATATGCTGTTGAATTATTTGCTAGTATTTTGTTGAGATTTTAATTTTTTGCATAAATATTAGTGAGGGGTGTTGAGCTGTAGTTGTCTTGCGGTGCCTTGGCTTGGCTTTGTTATTAATAATGGCCTCAAAAAATGAGTTGGGAAGTGTTTCTTCCTCTTCAGTTGTTCTGGAGAACTTATGATAAGGTGGTAGTATTTTTTTCCTTGACCATCAAGCTTTGTGTTAGTTTGTAATGATTTTCATTATGTGGCTCAGAAAATTTTGTCTCTACTCTCTTGTGTTCTTGACTTAAATTATTGCTGCAACTGTCATTGCTGGATTTCCATCACTTAATATCTGATACTCTTTATGCATGATAATTTGATTTATAAAATCCATATCTGACTTTTACTATGAGGAGGGGCAGAGCTCATTTGATTTATCTGAAATAAAAATTAAATAATAATTGATAAAGTTGGAAAAGGTAGACCAGTGGTTCTTAACTCTGTGATTTACTGTCACCTACTGGGACTTCTTAAAATGATATTCATAAACTACACTCAGACTTTAAAACATCTAACATACATGAAAATAATTTAGAATAGGATGCATTTTAACGTGTAAGTTCCAGGTCAAACTTCACTAGAAGTAGAAACTTACATGTATGACTACAACTAAAATAAATGTGAAAGCTACAAATATAGGCTGATAAAAATCTAACTTTAGTCAGTCATGGTTGTGCACGCCTGTAATCCTGGCACTTTGGAGGCCAAGATGTGAGGATCAATGAGTTTGGCCAGCCTGGGCTACCTCGTGAGTTCAAAACCAGCCTGAACTACATAGCAAGACCTTGTTTCAAAAACAGCTCCCCCCAAAAAAAATCCAACTTCGTTGTATCAACACTAAATACTATTAAGATTAATGTACTGTCTATATTTTTCAAGCAGTTTGAGCCAGGCGTGGTGTCATTGCCTGTAAGCCCAGCACTTGGGAGGCTGAGGCAGGAGAAAGCCACGAATTTGAGGCAGCCTGAGTTACATAGTAAGTTGAAGGCCAGCTTGAACGACATAGTGAGACTTTGTTTCAAAAAACAACAAAACAAAACAAAGGAGTTTGGTTCTAGGCTTGGATAATTATGTTTTGTTTTTGTTTTTGTTTTTTCTGATGCAGGAGACTGATCCCAGGGCCCTGTGCGTGCTAAACACACATTCTACTACTGAGCTATACAAACAGATTTTTAACCTACACGAATGTCCCATGGGACTTTCAGTAGGATGTGGGACAGTTCTTCATTGTGAGGGACTGTCCATTGTTCTACAGAATGAGCTAGCATCCCTTAGTATCTTTTACTAAATGCCAGGCATACACCCTTCCAATCATTGTGACAGTCAAAAGTGGCTCCACAAATTTCCAAATGCTACATATGAAGCAGCACTTTTCCCCATAAAGAACTTCTAGTTCTTTATGACAAATGGGAGAAATCTGCTGATAGATTGTTGAGCAACGAAAATAAGGAATTAAAAGCCATGTTTGAAAGATGGGAGTGGTGGCACATCACTACAATCCCAGAATACGGAAGGCCGAGGCCGGAGGGTCAGAGCTCAAGGCCAGCCTGAATTACACAGTAAGTTCAAGGCCAGCCTGGATATATATAGTGAGACCCTGTCTCAAAAACAAAAACCAAAAACAAGCAACCAACCAAACAAAAACCCAAGCAGCTTTCTGGTGCGTACTTTTCCTCCAGGTCTGAGGGCCAAGTAAATAAAGAATCAACTTGTATTTTTTCTCTTTTCTTTAGCAGCATCATTTTACAGATGAGGCAGAGAAGGTTTATAATGCTAAGAACTAAAAGTTGTTTTGTTTTGTACCAGGGATCGAACTCAGGAACTTGCACTTGTAAGGCAGGTGTAGTGCCACTGAGCTAAATCCTGGCCCAGGACTAAAAGTCTTAATGAAAGAGTTGATGAAGGTTAATGAAAGAGTTAAAATTAGAATACAAGTATAACTTCAAGACCAGTGCATTTTCCATTGTATCATGGCATGGCTGGGATGATGAAAGCAGAAAAAGACATTTTTTATTTTGCAGTACTGAGGGATTAAACTTAGGGCCTCAAGCATGCTGGGCAAGCAATTTACCACTTAATTATATTCCCAGCCCTTTTAAAATTATGACATAGAGAGGAATTTTTTTAGCAGGGCAAATCTGCGACCCACTGTAAAGCCAAAATTATCAAGACTTTAATTAGACAGCTTCATATTAACTGCTATTGACATTCTGGGAAGAAAGGTGACCAACGCTTATTTTCAAACTAAGAATTTATTAATATGTTGATCCTTCTTATTCTTTTAGGATGTTAATATGCAGCTGAATGACATAATGAACAGCGTGTATCGAATAATAACTCGTTATACTGCTCTCGATCTTAACTCATCTTCTGAAAGAAAGAGCTCCTATATAGAATCTAGGAAAACACGGAGAAATCTTTTACTGGAGAAAGTGACTACTTATGCTAAGGCTGCTGATCTTAGAGAAAAGACTCTTGCCTACATTCTGGCCTGGTTGGAAGAATGGAGTAAGTTTCCATAAGTGATTCAGAGGAAAACTACAAGGTTAATAAACAAAAATGATACAGAAGAGAAAGGTACAGGTAAAATCTGAAGGTCTGATCAGCCTAAAGAATACACGAGAGGTTATTTAGGGAACAGCTGTCCTCTGCTCCAGGAAGAACAAAACAAAACCCCAAAGACAAGCTTATTCCCCTAGTGCCATTGCAGTGCCCTTAACTTTTCTTCCAGCAGGCCTGCACGGCCAGTGCCCCGAGGGTTGTATTCCCTTGCCTGGAGAATTTTCCACCAAGGAGCTGCATGTCTCCTCCCCTGCTCAACTCCTACTTGAAAGTGAGGTGCTCTCTGAAGATATCCCCCATTCCTTACCACCAGCCATTCTCTACTGCCTTTTACCTTTCTTAAATTTTGTCTCTACGATCAGTATCTGACATACCATATAACTGACTTTTCTTGTTTTTCTTTTCTTTTCATTTTTATTTTTTGTCTGTCTCCTTTCTATTAGAAGGTTAGCAGTATTGATAGGGAAAACTTCGATAAATAGCAAAAACCTATAAAGTGTTACAATGTAAAGTGGCTTCTGCTGTCTCTAACAGCAGTTTGTTTAGCTCAGAACTAATAGGCACCAATTGCTGAATGAAGCATTTGGTCTGACCCTGAGATAACTGGGCACAGCAAGGTCTTGAGCTCCCATAGAGACTGAAGCCACCTGATCGTAAAAGTGTCGAGATAAAAAGGACCACTGCCAACATTCCCTCCTGTGACCCTGAACACCCCTTTCCTATGGACTAGAATAGATAACAAGGTGAATCTTTTTTTTGGGGGGGGGTTGAGACAGGGTCTCACTATGTAGTTGAGAATGACCTGGAACTCACTATGTAGTCCAGGCTAGACTCGAATTCATAGCGATCCTCCTGCCTCAGCCTCCCGAGTGCTGGGTAATTATAGGAGTGTGCCACCACACCCAACAACTAGGCAAATCTTAAATGTAAACTCCCCAACTGCAAAGAACTGTGGTGTCTGGGTTGAAAAGATTAACTATTCTGTGACTGTGATTTGAACTGTGAGAATGAAATGTAACCACCCAAATGAAATCAAGGCTGTAAAACCCTATAAAAGGAGGAGTTGTAACCCAGTGCGTCTTTGATCTAGGCACGGCTTATGTGTGATCGGCCCTTATCGATAAATAAATTTATTATTTTACTTCCATTCTGCTGCCTCTCTGTGTGTCACTTACTGATTCCTTCCATAACAGTATGAGGTCAGGGAACTTACTTTATTTAATGCTATACCTACAACATCTAAAATTATACAAGACAGAATAGACATTGATGGAATTAAAGAATGGATAAGCTAAGAACACAGGGAAAAAGGAATTTTATTTTATTGCAAGAAGTAATGCACTCATATTTTAGATACTGCGTTTTCTCTGAATTAGGAAAATAAACCAAATAGATTTTTTTTTCTTTTTTTTTGTGGTACCGGAGATCAAACTCGGGCCTTTGTGCTTGCAAATCAGGCAGCAGAATCACTGAGCCAAATCCCCAGCCCTAGACAGATATTTCTAACCTGATTCATATTTTCATGTACTGCTTAGCCTTTCAGTCCAACTCTCTTCCTTTACAATTTCTTCACAGAGAAAAGGCTCAAGATATCAGAGTAACAGTTAGTGCAAGATAACTATATTCTCCAATAATACTATATTAAATAATTGCCTAGTATTATAAGCCTATGTTATAATTTATTTTTCTGCACACAAATACTTTTTTTATTCTCTTCAAGGTTCCATTTTGTCTGAGATAACTATAATTGATGTTGATGAGCACCACCACTGGATAGCACAAATGGAGATGTTTCCAGACATGTTAAAAGCTATTAACAACAATGTCAAGATACTGTGTAAAATTAGTGAATCTTTCCTCGAAGAAAAGAAGAAACAAAAGAAAAAAATGTGTAAGATGCTTTATTAATTGGAAATAGTTTGAATTTTTCTAAAACTATAGATTTTTTTTTTGGAGACAGGGTCTCACTATGTAGCCCAGGCTGGTCTTGAACTCACTGCGATCCTCCTGCCTCAGCCTCCCAAGTGCTGGGATTACAGGCATGCGCCACCACGCCTGGCTAAAAATATAGATTTATTCCTTCATATTAAGTGCACAAATGTTTGAGTAAACTTACATAGTTGTGCAATGATCACCACAATCCAATTTTAGAGCATTTCCATTTTTCCAATAAGATCTTCCATGCTCATTTGCAATCTGTCTTCACTCTCACCCACTGCCCCAGACTACCACTGACCTACTTTGTCTGCTTGCTTTTTCAAGATATTTCATACAAATAAAATCATATTACATGCTGTATTTTTTTTTTTTTTTTTTTTTTTTGTACCGGGGATCAAACTTGGGTCCTTGCGCTTGCGATGCAGGCGGCAGAACCACTGAGCTAAATCCCTGGCTATATGTTGTTTTTTAATGTTTGCCCTTTTTTGTTCTGTACTGGAAAGCAAACTTGCACTTTCCAGGCAGGTGCAGCTCTGCTGAGCTACTTCCTTAGCCCTAGTGTCTGCCCTTTTTAAATGAGCATAATGCTTCTGAGTTTTAGCCATGTGATAATATGTATGGCAGTCTCTTCCTTTCTATTGCTAATTATATATGGTTGTTTGGATATGTCATATTTTGTTGGGCTATTTACCAGTTGATGGACATTTGAATTATTTACTTATTTGTTTGTATATTTATTTATTTATTTATCGAGACAGGGTCTCATTGTGTAGTTCAGGCTGGCCCTGAACTCACTATGTGACCCAGGCTATTCTCAAACTTGTGGCGATCCTCCTGCTTTAGCTTCCCAAATTCTGGGATTGTAGGTGTGTGCCACCACGCCCAGCTAATAAAGTTGTTATAAACACACATTTTCATTTATTTTGTGTACACAGCTGAGGGATAGAATTGCTGAATCAAGTGGTAAATTCAACTGTTTTCCAAAGTGACCACTAGAACATATTCCCAGTGGTAATGTATGACAGTTCCAGTTTTCCACAGCCTCAACAGTTGCCATTTTTTGTCTGTTTTTTAAAATTATAGACATTCTAGTAGTAAGTGTAAAGCAATATCATTTGGGATTTTAGTTTGCATTTCCCTAGTAATTTTGTTTGTTTCATTTCTTCATCGTACTATGTCTCCGGGATCTTTTCTTCTTTCTTTCTTTCCTTTTCTTTCTTTTCTTCTTCCTCTTGTTATTGTTGTTGTTGTTGTTGTTGCTTTTAATAGGTATTGATTGGACTGTGGGGTTACTCATCAGTTGATTGATCCATAGCTGAATATATTGTGAGGAGGGCCTGGTTCTAGGAGGTGAATCACTGGGGAGTGTAACCTGAGGGAATAAGTTTGCCTCCAGCTCTTCCTCTTCAGTCCTCCTCTTCTCCTCCTTCCTCTCCACCTCTTTCTCCTCCCCTCCCCCTCCCTCTCCTTCTCCTTCTCCTTCTCCTTCTCCTTCTCCTTCTCCTTCTTCTTCTTTCTTCTTCCTCCCTCTTCTTCTTCTTTCTTTTTCAGGGGTCAAACTCAGGACCTTATGTGTGCAAGGAGGCATGGCTCCACTGAGCTAAATCCCTGTCCCTCCAGTATCTTTCTTTATTTCTTTAGTATTTTAAAACAGGATCTCACTAAGTTGCTATGTTGCCCACACTGAGCTCAAACTTGTGATCCTCATGCCTGTCTCTCACAGAGTGCTGGGATTATTGAGGTGTGGTATTACTCCTGACTGGAAAAGGAAATTCCTTTTGACCTGAAGGATTTCTTTGATCTTTCTTGTAAGTCAAATCTGTTAGCAAAATGTATTCTCATTCTTTACCTAGGAATATCTTGATTTCACTTTCACTGTTATTTATTAATTTATTTTTTTACATGTGTATCAAATTTTCACTGCATTTAGAAGTGTTTGTTATCATGGACCATACTGAATTGAATTGAAATGGGAAATAAGAGCTAGGAAAGAGCAAAATCAGACATCTTTATACTTCATGGTAATCATTTTCCCCTAAGTCTTGTTTCTCTACAGAAAAGATAACAAAGACTGAGCTATAAAAATGACTGTGGGCCAGGGGTGGGGGGTGATTAGGGGCAAAATGGGAGCAGAAGGGGCTGTGGATCACTTAGACATCCTTCCAGACACACTGACGGACATACACATGTCATCTGTGATGTAGGAGACACCGCCATGCAAAACTCTTCATGGGAGGATTTGAAGTATTTTCCAATGATTCTTTGGCATCTCCAGAATTTTCTTTCACAGAGGGTGGGTTAGAATAGGTTGTCCATGCTTTGCTGAGATCTCTTTTTCTTAGTCACCTTGCCAGCCAGATGATAAAGGCTAGAAGATGAAGAACGCAGTGGCCATGATCGCCCCTGGAAAGAAGAGGGGGTTGTAATCACTTTCCGCGATCACTGAGAAACTTTGGTTTAATTTTGGACACATTGGACTATGACTGGATCACATTCCAAATGGTCCACAAATAGTTTTCTTCTCTCCAATTAGTTCAGTTCCTTCTGAGCAATTAAAGGTACAAACAGAAGTAAAGCTGAACTTGGCCAGGGGGTAACTACAGTCCCCAGTCCCCAAATCAGGCGCTGTAAAAGACTCACATGGGATCACTCGACAAGCTGGTTTTAGAGAGGAACATAGTATCACACAGCACAGTTGCAAGTGTAATTATTGATGACTTCCACACACTCGCCATGGCCTCTGAATAACCTGGGTTTGCAAGAAGCTGTGCAGCACAGAGCTGCCTTCCGTTTGTGACAGGCATCAGCATTGTACTTTCCCGAGTCTTGGGACCTCTTGATGTGGATCTCTACGCAGGCCTCCTTGGACTTCTTGTTTTTGGGCTCCCCAACTCCCCAGTTCTCCACTCCTTAGTGAGGGGCTTCTTGGTTCCCACCCACGTCCACATATATCCACCTTTATTTTATTTTATGGTTTTTTTTTTGTTGTTGTTGTTGTTTTGAGACAGGGTCTCACTATGTAGTTGAGAATGCCCTGGAACTCACTACGTAGCCCAGACTGGTCTCAAACTCACAGCCATCCTCCTGACTCAGCCTCCCAAGTGCTGGGGTTACAGGTGTGTGCTACCACGCCCGGCTCACCTTCACCTTTAAATAAACTAATTTTTAGAGGAGTGTTAGGTTTTGAGAAAAAAATAGAATTTCCTGGGCTGGGGATTTGGCTCAGAGGCTCTGCTGCCCTGCTTTGCAAGATCAAGGACCCAAGTTTGATCCCTGGTACAAAAAAAAAAAAAAAAGAGTTCCATAAATCTCTCCACTTCCCCCTCTTATTCATATCTTACATTGGCATATACTTGTTATAAGAATATTTTTTCTTTTGAAGCACTAGGAACTAAACCCACAGCCCTATGCATGCTAGGCAAGCATGCTACCACGGAGCAACATCCCCATCCCTTTTCATTTTGAAATAGAATCTTACTAAGTTGCCAAGACTAGCCTTGAACTTGTGATTCTCCTGCCTCAGCCTTCTGAATAGCTGGGGTTACAGATGTGCACCACCTAACTATGCTTCCATAACTTGTATTAAGAAATCAGTATTGGGCCGGGCATGGTGGCTCACACCTGTAATCCCAGCACTTGGGAGGCTGAGGCAGGAGGATCACTGTGAGTTCGAGACCAGCCTGAACTACATAGTGAGTTCCAGATCAGTCTCAACTACATAGTGAGAACCTATCTCAAAAAAAACCAAAAAAACAAAAAACCCAAAAATCAGTATTGGAACATTATTATTAACTAAATTCCATAATTCAGAATTTCATACTTTTGTATGTTTCAGATGATCATCTTTATTTGTCATATCTATTTAGCACCCCCTCCAATGGGGATTGAATCCAGAACCCAAGCTCTTTACACTGAGCTATAACCCTAGCTCTTTAAAATTTTAAAATTTTGAAATAGGATCTCTCTAAATTTCCCAGGCTGGACAAGAGCTTCTGATTCTTCTGCCCCGGCCTCCCAGAGTGCTTGGATTACAGATGTGCACCATCATGCCCAGCTGTTTAGTTTCATTTGACTGTGACAATTTCTCAGACTTTTCCTTATGTTGATGTCCTTGGCAGCTTTCAGGAGTATGGTCATGTACACTATAGGATGACTCTTTATTGGAATTTGTCTGATTTTCCATGGTTAGCCTGGGATTGTGGTTTTTGTTGTTGTTGTTTTTGTTTTTTGGTACCAGGGATCGAACTCGGGTCCTTGTGCTTGTGAAGCAGGTGGCGGAACCACTGAGCTAAATCCCTGGCCCTGTGGGTTTTTAGAAGAATGAGGACAGAGGTAAAATGCTATTTTCATCATCGTGCCACATCAAGGGTAGATTTATGATTTGATGTTGACCTTTATGCCTGCTAAGGTGATCAAATTTCTCCAATGTCCCCCTTCCCCTTCTCATATTGTAATTTTTGGAGGAAAGTCTGTGTGTGAAGCCAACACCTAAGGAATGGGAATCCCACCTTGTGCTTCTGAGGCAGGCATGGCGCTGCTGAGCTAAATCCCCAGCCTTGTTCTTTTAGAGTGCAGTATCTACATAAATTATTTGAAATTCTTACATATGGGAGGATTGTCTTTTCTGTCTTATTTATTTACTCATTATTTGTATATGTAAAAGTGGACTCATGGATATCTTACACACTGGATTATAACCCAATACTACTTTATTTTCTTGGTCAAGATGTCCCAACTTTGGCCACTGAGTGCTCTTTCTGATCTTGTGCCCCTTTGACAAACCCCTATCCATGTTAGTTTTGTTTTTGTTTGCTTGCTTGCTTTAGTACTTTCTTACTTCCCACAAGATAAATGCTTTAGATTTATGTTGTATGTTTCCTGCCCCAGTTCCAGGATCAACTATTTCTCTAAGGAGTTCTGGTTCCTTTTAGTGAGAAAATCAAGGTCTATGTG